TATATACAAATGACTAAAATACCAAAAAATGCATAAATGAACTATAGAAAAAAAAACAGAATAATTACCAACAACAAAAAATAGAAATAAAAAATTTATTATTTTAGCTGAAATAGCAATGATGACTTGGAATGTATTATATTCTTTACTTTGCTTAGCATTCACTACCCCTTGTTAGGGATAGATTGGCCATGGGGCAGTTCTGGTAAATGCCAGGAGATGGTTCTTGGTTGTTGACTTTACTGGTTCCAAATGTGAAGGGAGAAAGTTCAAGATTTCTCAACTCTATTTCTTAAGACATTTTTTACTACAGAAATGGGAGACATTTTTTTTTCTCTGTAATTTTTTGCAAGTGGGAATCTGGCGTAATGGTTCAAAGGAAAAAGAATATGGTGGAAAAATGCTAAAATTTTAGAAGAAATTAAGGAATAAATATAGATCATGCTGAAAAAGAGATTTGCAGTACCAGTACAAGGAAAGTTTGAAGAGCAATATGATGATTGTCCATAAATTACAATTCTACTGTATTTTTATACTTTTCGACTATCCAGTTCCTTCTGTAATGCTCCATGATACATACATACTCCCAAAATTATGTAATGTATATGCTCAATCTATTCCCTTGCTAGTAACCTATGCTGTGTATATTACTTTATTAATTGCATGTATAATACACAAACTGACATAAACAGTACAATTTGCTATGCAACAACTGAACAAACAAAAATGAATTATTGTTATTGAAGGATTAAGACCTTTGCATTAGTAAAGTTTTTGTAAATATTTTCTCCCCTTGTCATTAATGCATTGTAATGATTACTGCATACCCATCCATCCATATCTGCATTATGTAATTTATGGACAGTCCCTATGAAGGACTCATGGAAGTGGATTTTAAATAAGAGAGGAGATAAAATAGGATTTTTTTAGTGACTAAAAAATTCCTTTTGAGAAGCATTTTCATCTGACAGAGGACATCAAGAAATGAATTTTCTTCTTAGAACCAAATGAATTTACATATACTGTATATATAAAATATTCTGGTTTGGAAAATCATATTGAAAGCTGAACAAAATCTATTGATGAAACCATGAAGATGGACATTTACTGAAGTCCAAAAGTATTTGGATATGTTGATATATTTGAATTTGTGTGCACTGTAATAAAACAGAATTTATTTAATTTGAGAAGTAGATAGAGAAGTTTTCTTTGACTTTCAATTTTGGAATGCAAATTTTGATTAATAGCAAGTTTTGATATTGAGAGAATCAAACTCTTACTTTCTGTTGTTAGAAATCATTTAACATTAGAGTGATTTGTTATGGAGATGGTGATTTAGTTTTCTCCAAATCATTGTTGAATGAATGAATGATCTTCATATCCTGATTTCAATGGTATTTTGAGATATGCTACTCTGTATTCCTATTGGGGCATGTGTCTTCATAGTATTTTTTATTTCCATTATAAGTAATAATGCATAAGAATTTAATACCTGTAGAACAGAAGAATCACTAAATATTTTTTGAGTTGATAGTATGGTCAAGGAAACTTTCCTGGCCTAAATACAATAAATCATTTGAAAAGTATAAAGAAGTAAGGGATTTCGTCTATTTCCTCTGTCAACACAAAGGGATAACCCAGTTTTATTAGACACAAAAGAAGTTAGAGATCAAAAACTACACATGCTTTTTTTAATAAAGTCCCAGCCAAAATTTTATTAACATAATCAGTGCCATCACTAGAAACTGCATGGCCTGATTGTGAATCACGAAATGCAGGGCTCCTTCAGAAATATACATTATATAATTTTTACCACAATTTTTTTTATTTAACAAAAATAAACTTAAAGAGAGATCTTTATTTCAAGTATACAAAACATATACTCTATATTAGTTTTATTATTGTATAATTTAAGATATTACAAAGTTCTAAAAGAATTCAGGGACAAAAAGGAAGAATAGTATTAACTAAAAGAATCATATCATAAAATTTATTCTTCATGCTTTTATTTCAGCAAAATCTTTAATTATGTTTCAATCTAATTTTTCATGTATTTTGTCTTCTATTGACAATAGTGAGATATGGGAAGGAATTTGCAGTTCAGACTGCATATTTGAAATGTTGTAATTGAGTTGCATTAGTTATATTATTGTAGCAAATGCACAAAATATTTTAATTTCATTGTATTATAAATAGTGACATAAATCATTACCATTTTATATCTCAATTATCTCCATTCCTCTGTGCTAAATCTAAATCCATACAATGCTTCATAAAGTCATCATTCATTGTCATTAATATAGGAATATTGTGAAGAAAACCAAGAATGTAGCTATTCTCTTCAATTTGTTTAAATCCTTCTTCTGTAGAGATTATTCCTTGATCTACTATTGCTAAAAAAAATACTTCCTATAGAAATTTGTTTCAGGTGTATTTGTACATGTATGTTTTTTTCATAATCAATGTTTGTTTCATAATCAATGTTTGTTTTCTTGATCTGACTTAATCAAACATCATTGCTAAACCTGATATGTTTAAAGCCATACCAACCAAATGCCAAATCTCTAATGCTAAATTGTCTTTTAAATTATTAGTATTATAGCCGTTTCTAGCCCGATAATATTTGGCTTTGGTTGGTGTATGGTTTGATCTGAGTTCTTTGAATACAAGAGAGATGTTGCATTTTGTACAAATTTAATTTGCTATTAGTTTCGATTTTAAGAAATCATTTTCTCAGAAATGTTTTAAATTTGTCAATCTCCTTAATATTGACATTATTAAATTTAAAAATCTAAATTTTTTGCACACTTTTACTTATTTTATTTACTGCAGATAAAAGATCATAGCAAATAACTGCTGATAGCACAAATTCAAAATTAATTTCAAATGTTTTAAGTTTTTAAAATTTTTATCAAATTTTATTGCAATAAATAGTTTTGTTATTTATGGAGAGCCTAATTACTGTGAAATGGTGGATGGCATTTAAAAACATCAAAAACTAAACTTCTTAAGGTTAGGGTCTCTTTAGGCATGATGCCTTGGGCAAGCACCCCCAGTTACCAAGCTCTAATGACTCTAATCACAGTATTGACCAGTCACAATTTGCTTTACTTCCTGTTTGCTGCCCATTAGTCTTAATTTCCTTGAAATTTTCTTCCCTTTTGCTGCCCACATGACCTCCTGGCCACTTGCTTCTCCATCTCTTCTTGCCTTCCTGTTTGTTTCTCTTCTTCTCCTGTCATCAGTTCATAACATTTCTAACTCCTCACTCTAGTAAGTTGTAAATCTCTTTAACTCTCCATCACAACAACAACACAATGTAACACAGGATGTTCTAAGAAAATGTATAGTCATCTAGTTCTTGAAGGATTTAAACATAATTAAATAGAAATTAAAATTCTTAGTGTGTACTGTTAAAAACTGCTTTAATTAATTAACTTATTCTCATCTTGAATCACTATTGTACAACTTTTATATATTTGTAAGAGTCATTGCATATTATTAAAAAATGAAATATATAAGTAATTATTAAATTATTTGGTTGATTTTAAACCTTAGTAAAAATTTATCTTGTTTTGACTTTAAATGAATGTTAACAATGAAGATCACAGTAGTGTTCAACATCATATAATTTTGCTGATAATTTCTGGAAAATTTATTATTTTAAAATTAATCATCATTAGAAACAATCCCAAATAGTGTATTAATTTTCAAAATCACACTTACATTTAAATATTAAAAATTTTGTCCAGTTTTGATAGTGTCAATATTTTGAATGAAAATATTTTTTTAAAAAATTGTCTAATGTCGAAAGCAATTTATTTTCTTATTTTTATTTTAAAATTTTTGTTGTTTTGAAAAGGAGAGAGTAATTATATTTTATCATTGTCTATTCTAGTGTTAATTTGACTGTTTTGTTTTTTAATTCTGTGCTGGGCATTATTTACTGCTGATGTATTTATTTACTACACTAGTGAAGTGCATAATGTAAATATCTAGTATGTGCATCTGTTGAGATGGTTGTGTTTGTGCAAATTTTCTTTCTACAGTCCATCTAACAGATGATTTTAGAAACCTTACTCTCGAGTGATTATTGATTTGAGAATGAACATGAGGCATGTCCATGTGAAGAATTTTAAAAAAGGTGTTTTGAAAATGCACATTTTTTCATGAAATAATTTATTAACTTTTACAATATAGGTATATAGAGTAATATAATACAGTAGACTAAGGAAAACCAAACAGGTACAAAATTTAAGTTTTATATAGACAGACTATATGTACTCTTTTGAGCAGGACAGTATTGTATTATTTTACTCTGTCCTGGCTGTCCCACTGTTTTAGTAAAATTATCATTTTTTGTCACGTTTTGAAAATCATAAAACTTTGCTGTCTAATTTGTATATTGAACACATTTGTATATTACATTTCTGAAATTATGATTTGTTAGAAAATGTTTCTAAATCTTCTGGAAAATCTTCTATATCAACCTAACTATTAAATTTGTTATAATAACAAAAATATCAAATTGTAATAAAAATGTTTTCAGAAAAGAATGTAATTTCCCAAAATTTTTTTTCTGCCACTAAATACCACTAATAATGTACTGGCAAATTGTTAATAATACTTATCTATATTTCTTGATAAAATTTTAATGAGAGGACCTGTATCTATCAGTTGTGGCTTCCCTTTAACATTTTGTCATAAAGAAATTATAATCAGCCTAGTTATATACAATATACTGTTTCATTTTATTTAATTTTTAAAATTCTGTCCAAATGGGAAGGATTAAAACCATGTGTGTGTGAGAAGGGCCTTGCATGGAGGAAGACATCTCTTGCTATACAACTTGCTTTCATGAAGGTTCATTCATCTAACAAAAGAGTTATTTAATTTTGGCAGTTGTAGTTCAGAATAATTTTTAATTACATTTTAAAATTTTATGTATTTATCTGTAATAAAATAACCATTACATTGGTTTTTTTCCCCATTAAATTTAGGATAACTTTTATCTTTCATCATCTGATGCTTTAGAATCAGATTATTTGACTCAAGACAAAACTTCTACTAGTTTTGAAGATACTGAAGAAAACATGATTAGAAAGGTTAAAGAAGTTAAAACTTCATTCTCTGAAAAAGTTTCATCTGAATATCATCAAATGAATGGGAGTGTGAGTGTTTTGAAAGTTTTATATATTTTAAATTTAGAAACATTATCTATGAAGTAGCAAAGTATTTTAAATTTTATTGTCAATGACTAAAATATAATAGATACATGTAAATGAAAATATTTTGAAAATTTCATTTCATGTCTGACTACACAATTTTATATATTGCATGCATCTGTGTGATTATAGGTGATGATTTTAAATGATTTTTATAGTAAAAATAACAATGTTTATTTTAGAATAAATATATATTTTTTTTTAAGATCACAGTTTTTCTGATTTTCTTTGTAATAAACATATTTCCCTTTCTTCTTGAATGTAGTTTTGAATATTTTTAATTTTCAAAATGTATGTATAAAAATTGATAGTTATAGCATGAAAATTAAACTGCTTGTTAATATTGCATGTTAAATAAAACACGTCTGCATGTTTAAATATTTACTACCTGTAACTTCATTAGCTACTTAATTCAAGGAATGCAGAATTTACTGGTGATGAAGGCTCACTTGAATGTCCTGTTTCAGTAGCAAAATTGGTAAGCATGTTTAATTTTCGTTTTGTTTTTGTACTGAAATAAATTTTGACAAATTGTTGAAATTAAGTATTTGCATGTTTTGTCCCCTTTGTTTTAGAAATTAGTTTTTTTTTTTGCATGTTTTACTATACAAAGTCAGATTTGATTTGTAAGATTTAATTACATACCATTAATCTCTTTGAACTAAACAGATTTATTCAATTTAAAGAAATTAATGATAAAATAAATAATATTCATACTTGCAATTGAATTTATAAATGACTATTATAATTAAAACATCTTTAAATTTGGTATTTTGACTTATTCTAATGATAAGATAAAATATTGTTGTTTAAAAAAATTATTAATAATTTAAGTCTTTTTATTCTAATTAGTTATAGAATGAACTCCCCTTTTTTTAAAAAAAATATATATATATATATACATACAAAAAGTAAATAAGCTTTTCCTATCATAAAATTTATACTGACATATGTGAGTAAAAGCTGCAGAAGCAGCATACATTCCAGAAAAGCAGGTTCATAGGAAAATTTTGTTGTCACAAATGTGGGTTCTTGTTCTATGAACAGCAAGAAAAAAAATTAATGAAGTGATCTCAAATATATTTTTTTTAGACACCCAGCTGGTTTTTCCAAGAAAAAGAACAAACATTTTTAGTCGAAAAATTTTTCATCTGAAGCAGGTCTTATAAGTAAACAGATGGAACAAATTTTATAGAATTGACCAATAGGAGGCACCCAAGTGTAAAAGTTATAAAACAGTTTTTCATAATGATGTATTAAAGAGGGCCTGCCATGCTTGTGAAAATGCACCTCTCCTCCTCAAAGTTTATACATTGATCCTGCTTCTCTGCTATAAAAATCTCAAAAGCCTCTAGTACTTTGAGTTGGTCTGTGTTACATTGTTCTAATTAATACACAACACACACAACCAACACCAGCAGTATGAAAAGAAAAACTGTACTAACGTTTTAGTCTATATAAAAATAGACTAAAACGTTAGTACAGTATCATCAGGTAAAAATGATATAGAACAAAACGGCTAATAAAAATCTTAATACAGTAGAGCCTCAAACTCGGCACTCGATAACCCGGCACTCCGGATAACTAGGCCACACCCTGGCAGGGCAAAAATACCCTTAGATAATTAATTTTCATCATAGACAGCTTTATGCCTCATAGAGTATTTTTCTGAGGTCTGTCTTATCAAGTAAATTACTGTACACAGTGTATTCATTAATTTTCATTTTAATGTAGTAAAGGCTCTATGCCTTCATAAAGGACGTACTTTTCCTTTGTTTAAGGGTATTTGGGCAGTTTATTCTCTGTTGTATTCTCAAGCAAACAATACATACAAGTACAGTACAATATTTTCTGAGGAAACACGCATACTTATCCTTTTTTAACCCCATTCCCGATAACTCGGCATTTTCACAAACTCGGCCACCCTTCGGTCCACATTAGGCCGAGATTTCGAGGCTCTACTGTATAGCACATTGTAAATCAGGCTTAAGTTCCTCCTTCCCCGCATATAATCGGGAGGACAGTAGTCTGACTCCCTCTATTTATATCTGCTCCATGTTCTGTTAAGCACTTTTTGAGTGATCTCTGATTGAACCTCTGATTGAACCTATATAGATCAAGTCCCTCTGAAACCTTTCATCCCTTAGAGGTATCTTAATTATACTCCTGGTGCTCTACTGTAGTTGATTGGATTATCATTTCTAAGCAGTTTAAACAGATGGGAATTACGTCTGTAAAATAATTTTATGCAACATACAAAGCAATTTCTTTATAAATATTATGCATGCGATGATCATAAACGATAAGTTTACAGTAAGAATTAAATTCTTGTAGTGCAGAATTATCCACTGGAGCATTGCTGGGTATGCTGTATAGTTGTGTTCTTTAAGTTTCTTGTCTGTGGGTTAATTTATAGATAGTAGTGGCCTTTACAATCCTTACGAAGAGAGCCTACACTTACTGAGTACAATTGAGGAAACTAGAAAGAAGGTGGGCCACATTGCGGGACATTGCTACTGTACATGGCTACTATAAAGACTTGATCTATAAATGCAGGTTTTAGAAGTAGACTGAAAATATTCATTTTTTTGGAAAAATTAGTTTGGTAAATATAGTATAGTCCAGTTTCTGGAGAAATTTTAATTTATATTTTTTAGACAAATGAATTATAAATCTCAATGGAATTAATGGAAGCATATATTTTGCCATCAGATAAATGGAGTTTACTAAGATAAAAAAAAAAAAAGCTGATTTGCTTGTAAACTAATGTTGTTGTTTCTGATTAATAGATTTTTTTTTATATAGATACTGTTATCAAAAATATTCCTTAGCAATTAGTAGATAATGTAAAATAAGATTATATATATAAAATAGCATTTGTAGTTTATTTTTTATTTAAAAAAAATTTTTTTTGTTGCTATAAAGGATTATCTTTAGTCCAGTCCAGAATAAAAGTTCATTATAACTGATATATTGGGTTTAAATTTATAATTTATTTTGCAGATGATTTTTAAAAGTTTATGGCAGAAAATAATTTGATTAATTTTAAATTGTAAAGAGAAATGTGGAATATAACAAAAGATGATGCTAATTTGTTACTACTTTGATTAGTGTACTTTTATTAATTAAATCTTAATAATGAGTCATAAGAATATTCTACAAAATGAATGAATCTTTTTAGAATATGTATAATGATCAATAATATCTATAGAAAATCCTCTTTAATAATCTGAAAAATTTCCTAAATAAAAATTAGTCTGAGGTTGGGATCAGAAACCTCATTTCTTACTAAACAAGAATCTAATGAAGTCATACTAAAGAAGTCATATTTAAACTAGAACATAATCACTTTATAAATTCACATAAATCTAATTATAATTACATACAGTTAGAGATAATACTAAATTTAATCTGATATGGTGTTGAAATATTAGATATCTTTGTTCCAAAGTAATTAAAAATCTATTTTTTTTAAGAATTTAATTACTTGCAGATAGTTTGTTTTATAGCTGATTTTTTTTCTTTATTTTTTAACATCTTTTCAGTGTTATAAAGCAGTAATTTTGTTTTTATTTTCTATGGTGTGCTGCACTTTGTTAGTTTGATTTGATCACTCTTGTATTCCTGATTATGAAATGAATAAAGGTATTTTAACTTTATAATCAAAAAACATTAATTGAATTATCTAAAATTCAACATTTTGTAAAGAATAGTTTTTGAACTTACTAACTCGCAAAATAAAGCATAACACAATGTAGGTGGAATATGGCTCCCAAAATGTTAAATTCGACTTCTGAACTTATTGCATTTTCATTTTTTTATGTGTTGAAAGGAAAACAGTTTGAACATATAGTAGGAAAAAAACATTGTCGAAATTGATCAGAATACTAAAGTTTTTAATCTTATGTCTAATCACATGATTAATATATGTATAATAAAGTTTATATTGAGATATACTAGGTTGGGGAAAAAGAAATCCATTATTTTTTCACTAGATGGCTGTAGTGATACATAGCTTATAAAAAATTGATGACACAAGTTCAGACTTGTGCTTATTGGAAAAGTGACATTCTGTACTAAAAAAAATTCTTTTACAATTTTTTGATTGGTCAATTCAGTTGTGAGTTATAGGGTGTAAAAGACGGAAGTTAACAAAGAGAAAATTAGGTATGTTTTACAATTTTGCTTCAATAAAGGCGAAAATGCAAGCCAGGCAGCTGAAATTGTGAATGGTGTTTATGGTCCTGATACTGTCACAGCCAATTATGTGCAATTTTGGTTTCGTCAGTTCCGTTCTGGTAATTTCGATGTTAAAGATGCACCTCGCACAGGTAGGCCCGTTGTCGAAAATGTCAATAAAATCATGGAAATGATAGAAGTAGACTGGCACGTTAGCACTCGTAGCATTGCCCAGGAGCTAAAGATTGACCATAAAACAGTTCTAAACCATCTGAATAAAGCTGGATTCAAAAAGAAGCTTGATGTTTGGGTGCCACATGAATTGACGGAAGAAAACATTATGGATCGAATTTCCATCTGCGAAGCCTTGGCCAAACGGAACGAAATCGACCCATTTCTTAAACGGATGGTGACTGGGGATGAGAAATGGGTTACATATGGCAATATTGTGCGATAACGATCGTGGTCAGTGTGGTGAAGCGGCTCAAACGGTGGCTAAACCAGGACTAACAGCCAGGAAGGTTTTGCTGTGCATTTGGCGGGACTGGAAAGGAATCATCTACTATGAGCTGCTTCCATATGGCCAAACACTAAATTCGGACCTCTACTGTCAACAATTGGACCGTTTGAAGCTAGCGATTGATCAGAAGCAGCCAGAATTGGCTAACAGGAGAGGTGTTGTACTTCATCACAACAACGCCAGGCCACACACATCTATAGTGACTCGCCAGAAATTCCAGGAGCTTGGTTGGGAAGTTTTGATGCATCCACCTTATAGTCCAGACCTGGCACCAAGCGATTACCATCTTTTTTTATCATTACAAAATTTCCTTGGTGATAAGAAATTGGCATCAAGAGAGGATTGCGAAAATCACTTAGTCAAGTTTTTCGCCAATAGGGACCAGGGCTTCTACGAGAGAGGAATTATGAAGTTACCTTTAAAATGGCAACAAATTATAAAACAAAATGGTGCATATTTGATCCAAGTCGAACAACCGGAACCATGTTAAATAAAGACTTGAAATGAACGTAAAAATAATGGATTTCTTTTTCCCCAACCTTAATATTATGAATGTTGGAATATAGGATTGTGTCTGTGATAAAATGAATAAAGTACATAAATTTTTCTCATAAACTGTTTCCAATAAATTGAGATCAATTACTTAATTTTTTAAAATTTTTACAATTATTCCCTTTCAAAACAAATTAACTATTCATTTAACTCAGTGGTTCTCAAAGCGGGTGTCTCAAGTATGCCACAAGGGTGCCCCGAAATTTTTAAATAATTAAATTAAAATT